ATGAGTCCATCTTAGTTACTTTTCTTTCGTTGATGAGAAAAATTACCCAACACCAAAGTTAAAGGAAAAAAGGTTTATTTGGCTCACAGTTTGTAGAGGTTTCTATCCATAATTGGCCAGCTCCCATGCCAGTAGGTTGGTAGAAGAGAACAGTTCACAGCAGACAGCAGGTAGCAAAGCAACAAGGGGCCTTAACAGTGCCTTTCCGCCCCCTTTATCTTACCCAGGCTGCTCAGGGAGGGCAGCACTCACGCCCTTAATCCTAGTGCCCTTGAGCCTAGCAGTGCACCCTGAATCAACCCCAAGGGTACTCGCTGCAGATCCAGCCATCTCCTGAAAGCCCCACCTATGACAGAATGAGGCTGGGGCGCCGCGTATCAAGACAAACTGTTAACAGAGTCCTTGATCTGTGCTGTGCTTTACTTTTTATGATGATGATTCTGTGTCCTCTCCATTTTCATATAAATTTTAGGATCGATTTATCAATTTCTCCAAAAGGCTGGGAATTTAATCTAAACCTCAGTTTGGACAGTATTGCCATCTTCAGAACCTTGAATGTAGGATGTTTCTACATATTTAGTTTGTTCTTTAATTCATTTCAAAATGCTTTATGGTTTTCAGAATATAAAACTTTGTATTTCTCTCATTGAATTTATTTCTAAATGTTTATTCTTTTTGATGCTACTATAAATGGAGTTATTTTCTTTTGTGGTACTAGAGATTGAATCTTGGGCTTCTTAATACGCTAGGCAAGATCTGTACCATTGAACTACACCCCCTGGCATTCTTTTTTTTTTTCTTTTTGGTTTTTTGAGACAGGGTCTCACTATGTAGTTGAGACTGACCTGGACTCACTATGTAGCCCATGGTGGTCTTGAATTCACAGTGATCCTTCAGCCTCAGCCTCCCAAGTGCTAGGATTACAGGCATGCGCCACCACGCCCAACTTTTGGCATTATTTTCTTAATTTCATTTTTGTAATCATAGGACAAATCTTACTTGTTTATAGTGTATAGTAGCCATTCTTATATGTTGCTAAATTTGGTCTGATAATATATTGCAGAAGATTTTTGCATCTGTATTCATAAAGAGGTATTCATTTGTGGTTTTCTTTTTCTTTTTCTTTTTTTTTTTTTTTTGGTACCAGGGATCGAACTTGGGACCTTGCAATTGTGAAACAGGCAGTGGAACCACTGAGCCATATCCCCAGCCCTTATTTGTGGTTTTCTTACTCTTGTCATCAGGGTAATACTGGGCTCATACAATAAATGGAAAGTTTTTCTTCTTCTGTTTCTTGAGTTTGTGTAGATTTGGTATTCTTTAAATATTTGGTAGAATTAACCAGTGAACACATCTGGGCCTGCTTCTTTCGATAGTTATTTAATTATTGATTTAATTTTTATACTTGTTGCAAATTTACTCAGATATTTCTCTCCTTGAGTCAGTTTTTCTAATTTGTATCTCTAGGAATTTGTCTTTTCATCTTTGTAATCAAATTTTGGGGCATATAGTTGTTATTAGTATTCCTTATAGTTGATAATAATTTCCCCTTTCATTCCTGATTTTTTTTATCCCTGATTTTAATAGCTTGAGTATTCTTTTTTTTTTTTTTTCTTGTACATTGTAATCATTCTTAATTTTGTTGACATTTTTAAGGAACCAACTTTGGCTTTTTCCTTTCTCTTTGGTTGCTTTTTGTTGTTATTTTGTTGTCTTTTTTGGTACCAGGGATCAAACTCGGGTCCTTGTGCTTGCAAGGCAGGTGGCAGAACCAAGCTAAATCCCCGGCCCTTTTGTGTGTGTGTGTGTGTGTGTGTGTGTGTGTGTGTGTGTGTGTGTGTGTGTGTGATTTGAAATTGTGATCAGTGTGTGTTTTTTTTTTTTTTTTTTTTTTTTTTTTTTTTTTGAGACAGGGTCTCACTGTGAACAGTGGCCTTGAACTATGTAGTCCAGGCTGGCCTCGAACTCTAGGCAGTCCTGCCTCAGCCTCCCAGAATGGTAGGATTACAGGTTTGTGTCACCATGCCCAGCTCATCTTTTGCTTCTCAGTCACATTGTCACCATAACACAGTATAGAATTTCTTCCTGGCTTCTCATTTTAAGTGAGAGAGAGAGGCACAAAAAGCTCTGAAGAGTTAACAGTCACTCACGCAATCTGTGGCTATACATGTTTTTTCTCTATGTTACAAAATAGGAAAAAGTTAACTTAATCTGTTTGGCTTTTATTTATACATATCTGAGAGTTGTGCAGGACTTTTGAGGATTAATCCTTAATCTGAGTTATTTTATTCCAAAGTGTGAATTGCCATAAGTAGAGTTTCTTCTTTCATATGATTAATATTGTAAACACCTCCCATATGTCAGTGTGCTAAACCTAGTACCTTTCATTTAGATTGTGTTTTTATATTTAATTTATATAATACAATGTAGGATGATAAAGTTTGCTAATTATTTCCTTCCTGCTAAACTTCAACTGTGCTTATACCCTCTTTCTCCAAAGGTAAGACCTAGCTGGAAAATAATCAGCCTTGAGAACTAGAAAAACTAGAAATCGCTGTTCTTTTGCTTGGTGGCTACTTTGTGAGGCAGGTAAAACAAGGATAGGCTATTGAGGCTGGCATTTTTTTTCTTTTTTTCCAGTACCGGGGATTGAACTCAGTACCTTGCACTTGTGAGGCAGGTATAGCGCCACTGAGCTAAATCCCCATTATCAAGGCTGCTTATTTTCCAAGTAGATCTTATTTCTGGGACACAGCAATTCATATCCTTGTTCCTTTTAAGAAAATAATTATTTAATTCAAGTTAGAGGTAGGGTTGCAAAAGCTAGAAGATACAATCTTTGGACCTATCTTTTGGAATTCTCAATCTCTTTGGAGCCATGAATCAAGCCTTGGGAAGAGTCAGGGAATCGTTAGAGGTGATGGGGACCATGCTGCAAGAGTTATGATGGTACAGTAATCTTCCCTTACCCAAGATTTCACTCTGAGATTTAGTTAACCATGACCAACCACAATCTGAACATGCTAAATAGTAAGTTTCAGAAATAAACAACTCATGAGTTTTAAACTGTGTGTCATTCAGCATAGCATGATGAATTCTTACACTGTCCTGCCGTGTCCTGCCTGAGATGAATCATCCCTTTGTCCAGTGCATCCCTGCTGTCTGTACACAGGTGGTAACCACCCGTGCGTCACTTACCACGGTAGTCACTTTGGTTATCAGATCCATTGGTGGAGTGTCATAGTACTTATATTCAAATATCCTTGTTTTACTTAATAATGGCTCTAAAGTACAACAAAAGTAGTGATGATGGGAAATCAGACCTGTCAGTGAGAAATCATAAAGTGCTTCCTTTAAATACAAGAGTGAAAATTCTTGACTTTATCATAAGTATGTGTACTTTGTGTACTTAGGGAAAATTAGTGTGTGTATCTCTGTGTAGGTGTGGGAGTGTGTGTGTCTCTGTGTGTATGACTTCAGTACTATCCTTAGTTTCAGGTATCCACTGGGAGTATTGCAGTGTGTCCTCAGTGGATTGGGGGTGTGCTATATTTTAGCACCAAGAACTCTGGGGTCTGGGGTTGGTCCAAGAAGCCTGTCTTCAGCCAGCAGAATGTTTTCAGCCACCTCTATTATTCCTTGATAACACTTCTTATCTTCACTGCACAATAAACATACTATAATGTTAGCAAAACAGGGAGGTTCAAAAGCTGTTGGATTGTGATTGTTTACCCACAGTCACTTGGTACCTCCCTTCTTAAGTGCCATGTTGTATCAGTCTTTGGAAACGGATAGTCCCTATATAACCTCTAGCATCCCAAACCAAGATAAGGCACATTTCTCAAGAAATGTCATAGCATTTAAAAGCTTTTACATTCTAAAAGTCTTATAGCAGTACACTGTGTCCTTGGAAGCACTTTCCAAGCCCTGTTTTCCAGACTGTGCCCAGTCTTTGAGACTTATAGCAGAGAAACTGCTGCTTGGCTCTGGAGACCCAATGCAGTGCCGAAGGGAGGACTTGAATAGCAGCATAGGAATGAAGTGATAAAAGCCAAGTGTGTTGCACACCTGTAATCCCAACACTTGGGAGGCTGAGGCAGGAGGATTGCTATGAGTTCAAGACCAGCCTGAGATATATAGTAAGTTCCAAGTCAGTCTCAACTACATAGTGAGACCTTGTCTCAAAAAACAAAAAAGAAAAAAAAAAAGCCAAGCGTGTCTTCTTAGTACAGGGAAGGAACGCCCCCCCCCAGGTTGGTTGAAAATGAAGTGTGTTATTATGTTTCTTTGCCAAAGTGTCCACATATGTACCTAACGGATCATATTCCCTGTCAGGAAGACATGCAGATGCTGCTGGATGTTGTGTATTACTGCGGGGCACTTAGAACCCAATACACAATCGTGGAAGAGGTGTTTTATTGCTAATTTAGCTAGAGAATGTGACTTTCATTTTGGCCCGAATTATCTTCTGTGTGCTTTCAGTTTTGATTAAAGTTCCGCATTTCCTGTTCTAGACTTGAATGTTGGTATGTGCTTGAGAAATCCCCCACGTTGTATGTAAGAAGGCAATTGCTTTACATGAAAGCCTAGACTTAGAGTGTGGTTGAGATCCTTAAGTTGTATTGTATGATCTGAGGCCGATGGCCTTTTTTTTTTTTTGTACTGGGTATTGAACTCGGGACCTTGTGTCTTGTCAGGTAGGCAGCTCCACTGAGCTAAATCCACAGCCCCTGGTCATATTTATTTATTAGGTACTTTATAGAAAAAGGAACTCATAGCTTTAACATTTTTTTTAAAAAAGGAATTCAGTAACATCTTTTTTGGTAGTCCCAAGAGTTGTATTTCAACTATGCTCACCTGCACACATACCTTTTTTACATGTTTCTGTAATTAATTAAAATGCTACTTTCTACTTTTTATACTTAACATAGCTCTCACACACATTTTCGTGTTCTTATATAGTTATAGGACTTATATAAACGCCTATGTTCACTTCACAGAATGTGGAGGCTCTGGATCCACGGGGTAGAACATTATTGCACCTTGCAGTTTCTTTGGGACATTTGGAATCTGCTCGTGTTTTACTTCGACATAAAGCAGATGTGACTAAAGAAAACCACCAGGGATGGACAGGCAAGTATTCCTGCAGAGTAATTTAAAGTTGTTCATTTCAGTTTCTTTTTCTGAAAAAGACTAGCTTCAGTGGTGAGCTTCCTCTCGGCCAGCTGTTTCTCCCAGGACAGGGTAGGGCGAGAAAATGGGAGCTGAGGATGCCGGCTTATCTGCCGCACAGTGGCTTGAACCCTTGGTGGGGTTTTCAGAAACTGCCTTCATGTGAACTACTGACCATATATGAGTGTGGAGGTCAGGTTTAACCTGAGAACATGGTGGGAACGCCAAAAATAAAAAAGAAATTGATAGAGATAGCGTCTTCTGGTGAAATCCTAGCATGTCACTGTTTTGCATATTCTTACTAGTAATTTTGTGTTGACCGAGCAAAGATTCTCATAAGTGCAGGTCCTAGCCTCCAGGTCTACACAGGTGACCTGCGCTGAAAACGCCGTCAGGACTTCAGAACCAGTGCTGAGGGTGGTGGGGCGGGGAGCGGGGGAGAGGCGTGATCAGGAGACTGGGTCTGCTCCATTTTCTTTCTCTTTATTCAGTGCCAGGCTGGCAATCAGAAGTTATGGTCGAACCCGATAGCGTCGGACTGCAGCCTTTCTCCCTTTTTGCAGCAAACCAATTTTACAAACTGGTTTTTGACCTGTATTGCAAAATACAGATATTTTGCAGACTGGCTTTGGTCAGAAAGCCCATGACTACTTGGTGATTACATTCTACTCTTTGGTGTTCCAGTTTTACATGAGGCTGTGAGCACTGGGGATCCCGAGATGGTGTACACAGTTCTTCAGCACCGAGACTATCACAACACGTCCATGGCCCTCGAGGGGGTTCCTGAGCTGCTACGTAAAATTCTCGAGGTATTCATACAACAAGGCATGCTGTACTTTGGGCTAAATACGGATACAATAGCTGTAGTTTGACACCCTTGGGTACCTTCCTTACAGTTTCATGAGTAATGATTATATTTTGATTGCCAGATAGCACTATTCCTTGCTTGTCCACCTTACTGAAATATGGGGCCTCTCAAAAATGTATGTTTCGTGTCACTGGGCTACCTTGTTAAGGGCTAGCTTAAAATTATAATTTAAGGAAAATGGATATTTTCTTACAAGTGCCTGTTCCTTAAGAGCAGCACCCTGCACAGAGGTACGAGGAGGTGGTGCTGTGCATGCTTTACTGTGAAGCAGCCCAGAGGTCTGCTCGCCGCCTTTGCAGCTTCCAGCCATGAGTATTTTGTAACTTCTCATCCATTGGCTTCATTTATTTGCAGTCACTGGCTTTTGTGCAGTTCATCTGTTCTGTGAATTACAGTGTAGGCTCTCACAGGCCTTTCTTCTTTGTTTTGTTTTGATACCGGTGATCGAACTCTGGATCGATCACTTAAGCTTTTGAGGCAGGTGACAGTCACAGGCCTTTCTTAAAATGAATTTACTTCTAGGCTCCTTAGGCTGTTGGAGTGCTTGAATGAGGGTTGCCACTCTTCTGGTACTCTTTGTTACTCAAAAGAACCATTTTAGGCCCAGGGATTTAGCTTAGAGTTTCCATTGCCTGCCTTGCAAGTACAAGGACTTCAGTTTGATCCCTGGTACCAAAAAAAAAAGACTCATTTTATTAGTCAACCAAGTGCAATATTCTGAGAGCAGTAGGAGACAAGAAAGTAGCAGTAGTTCAATTTTCACTATTATTTACTCTGCATTAAAACATGCACATGAGCTACTCCAAATAATTCCTAAGATTCCTGGTAGTTAAAACAGCTTTACAACTTTAGTTCAAACACATTTCTTGAAAAACCTTAATAGTTCTATAGAGAAAAAGAACAACTTTATTATAAGAAAGACAATCATTGTTCATTATCTGAGCTCCCCACCCCGCTGTGCCAGGATCGAACTCGGGACTTTGCGCTTGCAAGGCAGGTGGTGGCAGACACAAACGCAAGGTCCAAAGTTTGATCCCCGGTACCAAAAGCAAAACAAAATTTTATGATTCTTAAGCACAATTATTCCTGAGATACAATTCATTTCCCATGTACTACATAAAAACTCATATGAAATATGAAATAGTTGCATTGTTTTAAAAATAAATGTGTATTTAGGACTGTGCAAAGGTTGCATAGATTTATTATTTTCTTATCTAATTCATTGCTGGAGTAACTAAAAACATTTGCCTATTTGACAAGTCAGAAAGTAACATTTAACATGAGGTGACTCTTTATTTAAAAAATTTGGTAGAAAGAGTTTTCTTTTTTTAACCTTCATTGATCCATAGCAGTGGATTGTACTGATTTGTATTCTCTGCTTAAAGTTATAGACAACTCATAAGTAACTTGTGTACTTAGTGGCACTAATGGCTGTTGATATATATTTCAACAGTATCTCCTTATAACATGTTAGCTGGCTCCTCTCTTCCTCCTTCTTTCCCTCTTTCCTTCCCTCCTTTCCTCTAAAGATTGAATGTAAGGCCTTTGTACTGAGCTACATCCCCAGACCCCTTTTTTTCTCCTGAGACAAAATCTCACTAAGTTGCCTGGGCTGGCTTGAACTTGAGACTTTCCTGCCTCAGCCTCCCAGAGTGCTGGGATACAGGCATGCACCACCACATCCAGCCTATGCTAGCCTTTCTTATCAGGTACCTCTTTTTTTTTTTTTTTTTTTTTTTTTTT